CGTTTTGCTACATCGTATTTCTAAGACTGATAACGTCTCTCGCACTACCACCACCGGTTGTGTGAGCGATTCATTGCGTTGGATGAATACGTACGCCATCGTTGTACGACATCGAGTTACTGTTGGTCTTCCTTTGTGATTTTGCGTCTGTCGCCACCATCCTTACTCGTTTTGTTTATGCTTTTACGGTGCTTGCGAGCACGTAATTGTTAATGACACTTTATATCGCCCTTGCGATTGTCGCACCCTTGTGCGTTATTTTTATCGCCCTTGCGATACGCGCATTGAGAATTAAATTCGTACACCTTGAAGTACTATTCGCGCCAAAGTCTGTTCTGCCTCGTACAATTGTCACGCCAACAACTTCATTCGCATTTTATCCACATCAAACCAGTCATTATCATTAGTATCGTATAAGTAGTTTGTAATCATATTGATTATCTAATTTTTATTTTTATTAATTGTTTTATTTTACGCATTGTTGCATTAGTATTAAGTGACTCCCCCCCCCAATCCACAATTCTATAACAGTTTATATATATATATGATTACTTTAATATAACTCCTTATCTTGTAATTCTTATTATTTTATTTAATGTAAGTACCATCCTTTTATATACAGTCCACTCCCTATTTCTTTCTCCGGCATAATTAGATAACCCAACTGGACGTTAAATAACCCGCACATTATAACCGGGCGTTCCGTTCAAACACAATCAAACACGTNTTGCGTCTGTCGCCACCATCCTTACTCGTTTTGTTTATGCTTTTACGGTGCTTGCGAGCACGTAATTGTTAATGACACTTTATATCGCCCTTGCGATTGTCGCACCCTTGTGCGTTATTTTTATCGCCCTTGCGATACGCGCATTGAGAATTAAATTCGTACACCTTGAAGTACTATTCGCGCCAAAGTCTGTTCTGCCTCGTACAATTGTCACGCCAACAACTTCATTCGCATTTTATCCACATCAAACCAGTCATTATCATTAGTATCGTATAAGTAGTTTGTAATCATATTGATTATCTAATTTTTATTTTTATTAATTGTTTTATTTTACGCATTGTTGCATTAGTATTAAGTGACTCCCCCCCCCAATCCACAATTCTATAACAGTTTATATATATATGATTACTTTAATATAACTCCTTATCTTGTAATTCTTATTATTTTATTTAATGTAAGTACCATCCTTTTATATACAGTCCACTCCCTATTTCTTTCTCCGGCATAATTAGATAACCCAACTGGACGTTAAATAACCCGCACATTATAACCGGGCGTTCCGTTCAAACACAATCAAACACGTATTTATTAAAATTATTTATATTTGTTGGTATTATATGAGCATGAGAATAATTGAGTTACTATAATATTTATTGAATAAAGAAAATGATATAGTATAATTTTCTCTCGGGATATGAGTACGAGGGTATATGAGAAGATGTAAAATATAGAAAAGCAAAGTGATGTTTGAAAATTTATTAATATAATAATAATTTTAAATAGAAATTATTGTGATTAATTATCACACATAGATCATCAACAACGCCACTCGTACCAGTAGTTATCTAGGCTTGTGCTGACTGTGAGTCGAGTCAATAAAAACCTCGAGTAGTATAGGAACCACAAGTGGGTTCTCTATCTTCGCAAGAGAGTCTTTATTAGTATTGACTACACAGGTAACCCACTCAAAGATTAGACTAGGCTGGCTAACTTCGTACCAACGTTATTGATTCTCTTTATTTATTTAGACAATTTTTTATTCANTTATTGATTCTCTTTATTTATTTAGACAATATTTTATTCTAGAGATCACTTTACTTTTTCTGGTTTCCTACTTAATTTATGTACTCATTATATTTACTTTGAATATGAATTTACCTTAATGATTTCAGGACTAATGTTGAAAAAATGAATATACTTCAATTTTCTATGTAAAATCATATTTTANATGAATATACTTCAATTTTCTATGTAAAATCGTATTTTGTCAAGCCACTTCTTGCATTCGTTAAAAGTTCATAAGGTGAAGTAGTAGTGAGAGAGATTGACAGTTTTTATGCCCTTTTATATTAAATTTAATTCATCTATCTATGCAAGAAGTGTCACGACCTTTTACTATTATCTGTTTATTACTCAATTTTTGTTATTTATTACATATTATTTTACTTGAAATAGATAATTTATCACAACTAAAGAATTTCTTATAATTATTACAGTAGATTTATATCAATGTATTTTTAGACATATTTCTTGGAATAGTTTAAAGTATTAACATGAATAATATTTTTAATTTGATTACTAATAGGTAATAACATATATACTACTGAATAATGAGTGGTGTATGTATTATAACATTATCATCATATGTATACACAGTAATCATGAAAAGATAGCGTTTTCTTCTGTCCTTTTCTCAATACGTATTTCAATGTTTAATATCGTAAAATAATACATGAAAATTCAAATTTTCACAAACTTTAAAACGCTACAGAATATTTACTACTGAATATTAATAAGATATTTTTTTACTAAAAATTTTCTTAAATTCTACTCTACAAAATAGCTATCTTAGATTTTTTTTTACATTTTATTTAAAATTTAAAATTTAAAAATAATCAATATTTTTAATAAAATGTAAAAAAATTAATTATTGAGATATAGCTATAGACCTAACGTATAACTATTATTTAAAAAAAAATCAGCTAACAATATTAATCAGATCAAAAGTTATTTAAGTTGTCAGTGAGTGGTGGGCCACCCTGTATATGTTATCTTATAAACTTAATAACAAAACAAAAAATTGATATTTTTCCAAATTACTAATTATTATATAATTATTAACTATATTTCCTTTTTATATATTCATTATCACCATGATTATTATTATTATTTTTACTATAATTTTCATCATTATTATTTCTATACTTACTATTCTACTATAACATACTCACATTATTATTATCAAATAATCACTATTATATTATACTATATTCATATATTATTATCATTAAAAAAAAAAAATAACTCCATATTATTTAAAATTTGTGAGGACACAACTCCTAAAAAAGTTGGGGCGGATGTTGTAATAGGCCCTCCACACATAAACAATTTAGTCTTCCGTTTTCTTCTTATTCATTTCTCAACACATACAGAAATTCTTTTACAACATAATATTTTTTTACATAAAATATAAAACACAATAAACACTGTCTATCCTCTAAAACAGTCAAACACACAACTCCCACGATTACGCGACACACATCCGCTCCTTCACAACACTTACAAAAACCCTAATCAATAACATATCCTAAAAAACATAAAAATGTAAAACCCAATGAGAGCTGGACGATAATTATACACATCCCTGGAAGGGGACCCGAGGAATGCATTAAGAATATCCCTGGGCATAAGGTTCTCGTCCTGTTTCGATCTAACCGACATACGAACACGTCGCGATTATCATCCGGCTCTCTTTCGCCTATTCTTAAAATTTATAAAAATATCTTTTAAACCAATAGTGCTTGTAAAAACTGATTATACCTTTTATCCACAAGTAAATTATTGTATCAATGAAGATTATATGATTAAGGTAAGAACATTCTAATTTAATGTACAAGCACTTAAGATAGCAATAGACCCTCGAACAACACACCCAGAGAAAAGGGATAGTTCTTATTTTCTATATTTATATAGCTTCCCCTTCCTTTTCATAATCTTATACCTTTTTTTGAGTTACGACATTTTATTCAAAAGAATATAATATAATATATTTTTATACAATTTAATAAAAATAATTAATATATTATCTATATAATTAATATATAGATAGTAATGTTTGTAAACCTTTTTATGTTACATATCAGTCCAAACGGGAACTCACAATTTAAATAAAATATAAATATGCACATTTATTTATCACAAAATATTAAAAATAAAATGAGCAGTAAACTATTAATCCATACTATCCAAGTGCTGGCGGGCAGTAAAGCTGCTCCCTTAATTATCTTTTACTCTCTTTCTCTCTGTTAAGTTAATTATGCTAATCTATTGATCGCAATATTTAGAGCCGACTAGACTAAATTAGTGCATACACCTCTACACGGCGTAAGTTTCTTTATTTTTTTCCTAAAATTCCTATTTTTTTAATATGTATAGAATTTTCAACGGTGCTCCTAACAATGCGTTACCAACCGTGATCAAAATTTTATAAAATAAAATTCTTTCTAAAAAAGTTAAATTAATCTTCAAGGGTGATCATAAACTTCGAGTTATCAACCGTGATCAAGATTACTGGCTTTTCCTAATATTCCTTTTAATCCTTTGCAACGATGCTCGTAACAAGGCGTAACCAACCATGATCCAAAAGGTTATAATTCTCTCTTTACTTAAATTAATTACTTCTTAAAGTAAGACTGATATGATAGGTAATTATTTAGTATAGATATATTTGTTTATTTTAAAATAAAAGAAAAAATAAGTTAATTATATGAGCAAAATTGTGTTCTGATTTCGTATTATTAGTTGAGTAATATAAACTCAAAAGAGTACAAACGTAGAAAAATTTCAATATGTATATATATTTAGAATATGATTTTAAAAGTAACCTTTGACCGAGATTTGTTATTGAGAACTATTCATGGGATAATTGAATTTTATTGACATTACATAAAAAAAATTACATTTAAAAAACTTATATATATTTAAAAATAAAATGTTTAACAGTAATTATTAGGTCTCTTCATATTATATAGTATAAAATATTTTTGTAAGCAATTGATGTTATAAACACAGGTGACAAAAAAAAAAAAATCTATCGATATAGGTGATAGTATAACCAATACATCCTATACAAATTATTTGGAAATATTATACAATAAAGCACTATATTTTATTTAAACATATTTTTACTGACGTAGAAAAAAGATTTATATTCTTTAAAAATATTTTTTATTAAATAAGAGATATTAAATAATAAAGAACACATTTTCATGTGTTCATTATAAATCTACCTAACATTTTAACGAGAAATCTTTCATATTAGAATCTTTTACAATGAAATTTTATTCGTTTATTTTAATATTTATTGTTGTTTTCGTGTTGCAACCAGACAAAAGAGTTCATTGCGAAACTTATCGTGCTATGTATGAAAATTATATCGAAAGGGTGGTGAGTCACATTTATTCACAAATTATATCGTATCGAAAACAAGATTCAAATAATGATATGGATATAGACGAAGCTTTCAAACCAAATTCTAAAATGTTAAATTTTAATCTAAAATATTGTTATACAATAAATATACTCAATTTAAAGTACATTCAAATACTGAAAAAATTCTTTAATTTAATAAAACTTATCCTCAATGCATGCCAAAAATATCATCCAAAAAATGAATTAAACAAATTTACTCTTTGTGTACAAATGGTTGAAGCAATTATAAAAAATTCAAAGAATATGACTGAAAATTTACACAATGCTATGAAGTTTTTAAGCTACATAGATATAAGATTTTTGTTTTCTCAAGGCTCCGTGGCGCATCCTATATTTGATATAATCGACTTTATATATCAGTACATCTTAAATATAAGTTCGGAAACCAGCTCATTTGATCTCAACAAATCACCTTATGAAATGAAACTTGAAAATTTGATAATATTTCAAGCAGACGTATCAACATTAATGTTCAATTTTATTCATAATAGTACATTCATAGATACTATTCTTTTAAATGATTTAAAAAATATTAAAATTGCGGAATTACCTAATAACTTTATACCTACAAGAAATGAAATAATTACTAAGTTCTTCAACGAAATTATTGAAGTTTGGTACAAAAACTTAGGATTTGAAGAATTTCTCAACCCTACAAGAGCAGAGTAAGAATTCTTACATGTAATATTAATTTTGAAACATATTATGGGTAATATTTCAAAAGAATTTTTAATAAATAAATATTTGAAAAAAGAAATATACTAACTAGAATTATAAATTCTAATTGTCTTATGAATATAGAACACTAATAAAGTATGGTGGTTTATAATATATAGTGAGTTAATCGAAAATAAATAAGTACATTTTAAATAGACAGTGCAACATCCTAATTTAAGTATTGTGATCGTGAATTAATATTAGAGGTATTGTATTTATTGAATTGTTTTTTAACTTCGATGAAAAGCTGAGAAGGTGTTAGTTTTACTATGATGTGTTTATTTTATTTATTTATTTATTTATTATTTTTGTCTGTTACCACTTTTTCTCAGCTCTCACCGAACGGATTTCTTTCAACGATACGTCAAAAGATCACAAATCGTATCTAGTCGAAGACATTACCCTTAAAAATTGAAAAAATTTCCCTTGTTTCCCGTAAATGGGGGAAACCTCCAAAAAAATTACAAATTTAAAAATCGCTAATTTTCGAAATTTTTTCAATTTTTTTTACTGCCGTAACTTTTTCAAAAATTAACATATGAATATAACTTTTTTTTTTTATAGATGCTTGATGTTTTTACCTATCATTTGGTATATTTTTTTTGTAAATTTGACCATTTATCTGCCCACAGGGGGGGACTTAAAATGACAACTTTTTCACAAAAAATTAACTTTTTCAACTTAACGTTTGAAAATGTCCCGGAAGGTCTGACACTTTTATACATATCTTAAGTTAAAGCTAATGTAATGTACTTTATTATGGAAAAAAAAAATTTGACCTCTGGACTTGTCTTCATGGTAAAAACGGCTACCAAATGCTATTTTTGTGTGAAAATTTTCGATTTTATAATTAAAATTTTTTAATTTAAAGTGCTATAACTTTTTAAAAAATGTATAGATCAATTCAATTTTTTCATGAGAAGTAGTATTTATATACATCATTCATTGGATATACTTTTTTTTTAAATTAGACTATTTCCCTACATATATGGGTGCTTCATATATAAAAAATACATATAGAAAGTAGAACTTTTTCAACTTAACTTTTGTAAGTGTTCCGGAAGGTCTAACACTTTTATATATATCTTAAATTGAAGTTTATGTATTAATCTTTAATTTTAAAACAAAAAATTGACCTCTGGACTTGTCTTCACGGTGAAAATAGACATCAAAATTAATTAAAAATTACGATTTTTGTAAAATAATTTTTTTTTATAATTTTAACTTAATAATGCTATAACTTTTTGAAAAATATATGGATCAATACAATTGTACTATATGATTTTTTTTTGTGACTGCGATTTATTTTTCCAACCCTCTATTTAAATACTTTTTTCAACAATACGTCAAATGATTACAATTCGCAGTTAGTTGAAGATATTACCCTCAAAGTTTGAAAAAAAAAAATACCTTATTCAAATAAAAAGTAGCTTAACCATCTTTCTCCATACAATTATAGACATTAATTTCTAATATTTTTAAAGTATTTATTGTTGAATTAAATTTGATATGATTAAAGTATTCAACTACAAAAGTGAATAATTTTACTTTGTAATTTATCAATTTTTAACTCTATTTTTGTGTGCTACTACCTACCAGTCTACACTATTCCTAATTTTTTAGTCAACTGTTGATTTATAAATCTTTTTTAAAAAAAATTATTTTTAGTTTCAACTCAATTTAACAATGGATTGTTACAATTATAATAAATTTCATAATATGCATAATTAAGTAGATTTTTTTAACAAATTTTTAATTTGTTATTTAGTTAGAGTAAATCATTAAAACTAATTAATTTATCAATATTTCAATGTAGAATCTTTTTAAACATCAAAGTACTTAGGAAATATTCCTATGGATTCTATTTAAGTGATCTATTACAATTGTAAATTGTAATTTAAAAATTTACTGTCTGCATATTCATCTTGACAATAACATTTTATTATTTATCATAATATTTTCTGTTTAATGATGTCATTTTCAAACTTGCAGTTTGACCTAAAGTTCAGATAGCAAATTCAACTTATTTTACTACCAACTTTCACGGAAATCAACTTTGAGGACCAAAAATTGGTTGAATATGATATGTTGTAATGATTATTTTTATCATATTAATAATCAGTAATAATTAGACTACAAAATTTTCTTTTTATTNATTTTTATCATATTAATAATCAGTAATAATTAGACTACAAAATTTTATTTTTATTTTTAATAATTTTTTTTTATATTTAAATCCTAATTTAAACTAATTAGTAATAATAATAAAAGTAAAAAATGATAGAAAAAGTCTTATGGCAGATTTGAAGATAATGCGAAAAGTATATTCTTGATTATAATGAAAGTGCCTTACNTACATAGCAGTACATATTTGCATTTTAATTTTTTTATATATTTGCCATAGAAATAACGAAATATACTATTTTCAATTTTTTATTATTTCTCTGGTATTGTTGCGTTATTGAATATCAATTTCATATTATTTTTAATTACTATAATTAGTATTTATTTAAATAATATATTGTACATTAATAATATTAAAGAACTAATAATCAGGATATGAATAAAAAAAAAGGAATGGATGTTGTTTTTGAAAAATTCAACCAATTTCTTAAAATTAAACACTATCTAAAGATTCGGATCGCAGCATTTCTTATAATTTTAATCATTGTCAGATATTATCTGTATTTGTAGTAACTATGCTAACTATAATTTGCCGTGAGCGCACTGTAATAATATATTTTTTTTAATTTTGGTATGAATATAAAAAAACTTTTTTTTTTGTACGTAATATATGTTAGATGCTAAATTATCTATTTTATTTATGCAATAGTATAAAAAAACTCGTAGAAATTTATGAAAGAAATACTATTAAAATATTAATATATTATTAAAATTTGAAAATGTTTGCCGAATTTAATTTTTTTATGTATTTCTTAATAATTTAACAAAGAAATGATAATTTATAATACAAATTCAATATTTTAATCATATTTGACTATTTAACTCAAACTAAAATAATGTTCATCATCAATATTTAAATATCTTTATTTTTATATATTAATTAATTATCAATATACAATTAATTTATTAATTAGCATATAATTATTTTTTAAATTAGATTCATACCTCCAATAGATCCAGATACAGTTCAAAATGATGGAATTGAAGCTCTTAATATTATTCGTAAGGAATCTGGTTGGAATAAAATGGACCACATAAGTATTGTTTATATTGGTAAAAAATTCAGTGTAGATCAAATAATAAATGAGGAAGTTACTAAAATAAATTTTCGAATAAAAAAAGAACATGTATCACAATTATTAAGATGCAGATTCACAGAAATAATGAAAAACTATCATACATTATTATCTGCTATGTTATATATATGCAATAAAGATACAAGCAAATATAACTATAATTGTTTGGTTCAATTATTTAGCTCATTCGTTAAATCAAAAAAAATGCTGGAAGATTTGTATGAAGCTTTAGTTACTTTAAACAAATCATCAATATTGAGTGTTATATATTTCTCTAAATCAAATTTAGAGAGAGTTTTTATGTATGTTACAGATTTTCTCACTGTATTAGAAAACAATGATTTTTCTCTAAAAAATATTGATGATAATAAAATGGAAATAGTCGAACAACTTCTAAAAATTTTTAAAGACAATTTTACATCATTTAGTTCTCATTTATCGAGTGATATGAAAATATATGATACCCTGTGTCATATAAATGACAAATTTAAAAATGTTCACCATTATATAAACTATTTTAAAAATATGGGAAATATATCAACTGATTTAGATCCTCAGTTTTCAATACAAATTATGCTAAACGCCTGTAATTTTTTTGACAGTTTTTGTGAAAATGTTAGCAAATCTTGTTATGAAGATCTAGGTTTTGAAAAACTTTCACACTGCAAAAACAAAGAATTAGACAGCAGACTTCTTTAGTTTATGTCTAATTCACTAGGATCTCAACTTCATATTGATCTTTGACTTGATGTTTGATTTACTTCCAGACATAAATATTTTGTTCCAAGAATATTTTATTAATATACTATTAATACTATATAATTTTATTGAGCAATATAATCTTCAGTAATTGTATGCAGGTGTTATTATTTAATTAATTAACAAACTATCTAATACTACATCATATATTATAAGTATTTGTTCTTTTGCATCTATCATCTTTTTCTGTTTACTTTTCTAGTGAAACATACTTTTAGCTTCGATGCGAAGCTGAGAAGGTATTGGTTTTACTATGATGTGTTTTTTTTTTTTTTGTTTTTTTTTTTTGTGTCTGTTACCACTTTTTCTCAGCTCTCACTGAACGGATTTCTTTCAACGATACGTCAAAAGATCACAAATTGTATCTAGTCGAAGACATTACCCTTCAAAATTGAAAAAATTTCCCTCGTTCCCCGTAAATGGGGGAAACCTCCAAAAAAATTACAAATTTAAAAATCGCTAATTTTCGAAATTTTTTCAATTTTTTTTACTAAAAACTGCCCTAACTTTTTCAAAAATGAACATATCAATATAATTCTTTTTTATATAGATGCTTGATGTCTTTACTTATCATTTGGTATATTTTTTTTGTAAATCTGACACTTAACCTGCCCACAGGGGGAATTTAAAATGACAACTTTTTCACAAAAAATTTACTTTTTCAACATAACTTTTGAAAATGTTCCGGAAGGTCTGACACTTTTATATATATCTTAAATTAAAGCTAATGTAATATACTTTAATTTGAAAAAAAAAAATTTGACCTCTGGACTTTTCTTCACGGCGAAAATGGCTACCGAATGCTATTTTCGTGTGAAAATTCTCGATTTTATTATTCATATTATATTTAACTTTATAATGCTATAATTTATTGAAAAGTTTATGGATCCACACAATTTTTTTATGAGAAATAATATTTTTTAATAAACCCTTTTTCATTCGACATATTTTTTCTTAATCGAGATATTAAGTAACCAGCAGATCAAGTAGCTTTTGGAATCAAACACCAATTTTTTTTTAATTAAACACTATCTAAAGATTTGCATGGAAGCGTTTATTTTTGATAGTGATTTTAATCACTGTCAGATATCATTATACTTGATCCAACTATACCACGTCACAACTGTGCCGCGACCCCCTGTGCTGGGTTTTTAATCATGTTGCTATGCTTAGTATGATCAGCAGCGTTATATATCATGATAATATTTTATACGAGTGTTATCGTACTGCAGTGTACATCTAAGATAAAACATATAAACATATATAAACGCATTCATTGTGACATGTTATTTAACAATTTTGTTAATCCCTACAGTTACTAGTTTAATATATTTTATAGTTTCTGTTATATTTATTTGTCATTTTCAATTTAAATGATCTTTGTGTGTTTACTTAAAACTTTCTGTAATTAAATAGTTTTTTGTAAATACCTTTTATGTATGTACTTGTTATGTACTAAAAATTTACAAATATTGTATTAGGCAAGTCCCGTTTGATAAATAAATAAATAAATACTTAAGGGATTACAAATATAGATTGATAATTGGTTTTTTATGACGATATTAGCAAGCATATAGCCTTTATTATCAATGATAATAAGACACATTGCTATGAGTTTATAAACGCACTAACTGGCAATACAGAAATTATATCCATTGCTAATGATAATTGACAATTAACACTGCATGACTGTAACAGCGATGTCATAAAAACTAAAAAGTGAAAAATAAATATAGTTTAAAAAAACTATATTTATTGTAGTAAGGCCTATATGCAGGATTCCCATTATAATCAACCAATTAGAATAAAAAGCATCAGGTTTCAAGATCACGCTAGGTATTGCTAAATTACCCCTTCTGACTATAAAAAGTCATTTTTCTCCGTCTAAACCAATTTTTTCGGTAATTTTAAAATACACAAAATCTACAACGCTCTACTCAAAATTTCACTCACCTGGACTTAGTTGTTTTTAAAAACACGATTCATACGTTACCTTTTAGTAACATTCATTGTTACCATTAATATTATTACCATTATCTATTTAGTACATTATTTCATATTTTATTTTATTTTATATATACCAGTTGACTTTTTGACTAATTGAAATTATGTTATGTTGTGTTATTTTTAATTTATATGTAATGAAGTTTATAAATTTAATTACCTGTAAAATGACCTGTAACCCCGACTCGTAAAAAAAAGTCGTTTTTTAAATTTGTTTGAACTTAGAATATTTTTTTTTTAACTAAAAGACACTTAGAAGTTTTAAAAAAAACATTTTTGTTGTGTAAAGCTTATTAAATTGCAGTAAAAATATGAAATATTTTATTTTATTTTAGATATTAAAAAGGCAATTAGATTTTATCAAATTTAAATCCCTATAAATTAAAGTTAAAATTTTAAAATCAGAAAATTAAATATTATTTCAAAATCAACTACTTGTATGACTAACGATAAGTAATTAATAGGAATAAGCAAACCTTATTAAATTTTATATCTTAGTATCAGGGCAGGTGTCTTCAAGCTAAATTTATGGCAAGAGGGGAGGGACAAATAAAAAATACTTTCATAACTAATCTGAAAATTATTGGCGCAAGTAATGTGTTCAAAAATTATATGCAAGAAAGGTTTAAAAAAAACCATCCACGCATGTAAAAATATTATTTTCAAAATAACTTTTGAAAATGTTCCAGAACGTTTTACAACTTTAACCTACATAAAGTTAAAGTTCTGCAAGTTTACTAAAAGATAAAAAAAACACCCCACGATTGTTCTACGATGACAAATTAAGAACTTTTTTAATTTAGCAATTGAAAATTAAAAATATAAAAGTTATTGTAAAATTTAACATATTTAGATCGAAGCCATTATTATGTTCTTGATATTAATCGTTGTCAAATATCTTTTATATTTGTCTCAACTATACCACGTGCCTAATGTGCTTTATTTTATCTAACGATTGATGAGACTCGCCTGTATACGAATAGAAATAAATTGTATTATTATATGACTAATAATACAATATAATAAATATAATGACATTAGCTGAAAAAACACTTTTTCATAATGGTTATCAAGACAACATACAATTTTTGATTTATAAACTAAAATAGCGATAAGTAAGCAGTATAAAAATAAATTATAGCTATAAATCTAATATTCTATCATTTAAAAAAATTATATTTAACCATGTGAACAAATGTAAAATATTTTTTACTTTTAAATTAGAAATATTTTTTTTTTTGAATTACAAGTGTAATAGGTACACATTATAAATAATTTTATTTTTATTGTAAATACTATGAAGGTTAAGTGATCACCCTCATTGCTCCTCCACTGAGACGCGCTTGCTTAATATTATGAGAAGGACAGCTCTTATGTAGATGGTTTGAAACCTAATATATTATGTATATTATGAACAAGTAAATAAATATGTTTAGGCTATTTCAAATATTTCGAGAAATTTTATTTTTCTGAATTAGTTTTTATTTTTCGTATTTCTTATTAAAATTCATGAACAAGTCAATATTGTTTACATATTTTTTAATATCGAATTTAATAAAACCACTAAACGTAATGTAAGAGTCTTTCTACAAAAAACTTAAATACGTCTTATTTCCTTATTAGTATCACTCATCTAATACATGTATTATCTAAAAAGAAAATAGTATACACAGTATGTCAAAAATGCCTAATAATTGCTGATTTCGAAATACCATAGTTTTAAACGATCTGTGCTGTTTATTTTTGAACCTACTTAGAGAGAGGCTCTACAATATTTCTTATCAAAGATTTTTTATGATAATTTTGGGTATTACCTTAAACAACTCAACGTAACTAAACAAAAGAGTATTAAATTGAGTTGTATTGAACAAAATTATCGTAAGTCTACAAGTTACTACTTTTTTGCTCAGTAAAAGTATTATACACTTTTTTTCTTAATTGCTAATTCTTCATTATATAGTAAATAACTGAATAACGTCGATATAAAATTTACAACAGTAGTAAGCAATTTTTGAATTCTCAAGCAATACAATAATGTCATACAAAAGGGAAATGCAGGGTACGCAAATTAATAATGGTGGGAAAAAGAATATAAAAGAGAAACATGAAAAGGATAGGAGGACTGAACGTTTTGTCGAAGAAACGTCGAGTTACGAGTGAGGATGTTTGACGAGAGTAACTTTATTTTTGTACGATTTAATTTATTTCGTGTTACATTTTTATATTACATTTTAACTTTGTGTTTGTTATGTTTCTTAAATAAAATAACTACTTAAAAACCTACATTTAGCGTAAATATTTTATATCCTGTTAAAATTGTGCGTGTGTGTGCGTACTGGCTAGTTTTTGGGCTTAACCATCCTTTAGTAGGTATAGTACAAATGTAGTTATGCTGGTGGCTGACGAGGAGCTACCTTCAGTCTGCTACTTTTGAACTAGACCGTGCTGACGGGTCTAAACTCTAATCCTTCAGCAGTTCACTAATTTGAGGGATTGGGGCTGACCAGTGTATCCAATGGGAGGACTCGAGAAAAACTAAAAATGACGAACTAGTCGTCAAACATTTGCTAATTTGTGTACGACTGTCTGTGTCTACGTTGGGGCACTACCGACGTACGACAATTATTAGGTCTGTTTTTACGAAATACGTATAAACCTAATTCTCAATTACTTCGCTTATAAACTGAATACACAATATTGTCTAGTTCTAAATATGCGAAAATAAATTTTCAATATTTTGACACAATAGAATGATTTTTAATTTTTAACGTTAATGTCCTTATTTACTAGGGGACGGCAGTAGTAATTAACTTATTAAGTCATAAACAAAATTTTTCAGAAGGTAAATAAATAAATAATGTTTTTACATTGGTCTTATCATACTACAGTAAGGTGAATCTTACTTTTGAAATTTTAATTTTTTTATTACTTACATTCTCAATTTGTTTAATATTATAAAAAACTAATTCATTTAAATTTAATTATGTTTATTGAACCCCTTCACATTACCCCAGAGAATTTCAAATGGTTAAAAATTGTTTTTTTGTAGTATTCCGCTTATAAAAAAAAATATATAACACTTATTATGAAAA